TGACTTGGGCTGGGCTGGGCCCCGGAAATGAGGCCCCACCCGCTTTTCCCTGACTCTTAGCCTGGAGGTTTCAAGGCGGGACCCTCCGGTGCCCATGCCTGATGCAGTGGCGGGCAGTGGGGGCGCCTCAGTCTTCATGGTGAAGGTTAACGAAAGTCCTTTTCCAACAATGGGCACCCGGGCTGCTGTGCCCACTCTACAGACCGCCGGCCCAGGTGTGAGAGGGTGGATGATGCAGAGGACAGGTCCCTGGCAGAGGCCGGAGGTGTGGAGTCAGGGAGCAGGGCCCAGGTGTGAGGGTGGGTGATGCAGAGGACAGGCCCCTGGCAGAGGCTGGAGGTGTGGAGTCAGGGAGCAGGGCCACAGTGAGGGTGCCCAGTGCGGGACAGGCCTGTCCCCTGGAGGGTGTGTCCATGTGCACGGCTGGGAGGGTGCCCCTTGCCTCCCGTGCCCATCCACTGTGCTCTGAGTGTCCTGTGTGGGAGCCAGCCCTGTGTCCAGGGCCCTGGCCGGAGAGGAGGGGGCGAGGCCTCAGGACACACAGGAGCATGGGGACCTCTGTGCTCCACAGGCTTCTGGCAGAGGGTCCTTGGGGGCTCTCCCGGCCACAGGAGACCTGGGGGGTGGGCACCCCCTTGTCCTCTGTGCTCTGCCCTGTCCGGATGCTGGTCAGCAGGCTGCGGCCAGCACGTTCACGGAGGCCTGTTGTGGTAGTGGTGCTGGGCAGGTGGGCGCCGCACTGGGCTGGGGGGTGTGGTGAGCAGGGTTCCTGCTGCCCTTTGCAGGGGCGCTGCTTCACCTGTCCCCACGGGAGCCCTGACCGGACCCAAGGCTGGAAGGGGGTATAGCCACTGGCAAAAGCTGTCCAAGTCCCCACGTGACATTAGACAAAGGCAGCTTGCTATAGGTTCTCTTCTGTCCCCGCTGGAGCCGCCCGCCCGGCCTGCTAGTCTCTGCGGCTGGTCCCTTGGCTGTGGCCTGCTGGTGTCTTGAGAGAAAGGACACTGTCCCCACCCTGGGCCCCCACTCTTGTGGGCACCTGGCCCGAGGAGCAGCAGCTTTGAGGCAGGAGCCCAAAGGCGGTGGTGGGCTCCCAGCAGGCAGTGCGGGGCACCTGGCATTTGGGGTGATGGACCGCAAGACTGGCACCTGGCACCCTGAGGCAGTGACCCCATGGGTGCAGGGCTGAGCCCAGCTAAGGCCACCAGATAGCGACTGCCCCGCACGCTGGGTCCAGGGAGAGCTGGGCTGTCTCCTCACCCATGTGAGCCCACACTGGCTGGGGGTCTCTGAGGTGGCAGCAGGTGGGGCTCAGGCCATGGCACTGTGTGGGGAACAGCCTCCTCAGGGCCCCCAGGCTCAGTGCTGACAGCACATGCACCCTCGGTGCCCGCCCGCTGTGGGGCCCCACTTCAGAGAAGCCTTGTGCACTGACTTGGGTGTGCGTGTGACAAGACAGGAGTGTGGCTGACACCCCACACCTGTGCTCAATCACAGGCTCACACATGGGCACACACACACACCACACACTCACACATACAGAAATTGCACAGGCACACCCATGCACACACACCACTTAAGCATACATACGTGATACACCTCACACAGTGCACATGCGCACACACATGCATGCCTCACACATGCGCAGGTGCACACGCACACAGCCATGCACTTGCGTGCCCTTGTGCACACACGCACACATCGCATTCTGACCGGGCAGTCCCTTGGCCTCTGGCTGCTTTCCGGCACGAGGACTCGGGACTCGGGGAGCCACAGTGGCTCTGCCACCCGGGCCCCTGGGCAGAAGTGGCAGAAGGTGCCCTGGAGCCATGCAGGGCCCCACGCTGCCCTCCCCTTGGCACGGCAGTAGCTGTCCAGACTAGTTGGGTGGCCAATGGCCAAGGACAGCCTGGGCTGGGCCAGGGAGGGCCGGCACCTGTGGGGTGTCCGGATGTGATGCTGGGGCGCTGGCCGGCTCCCTGGGCCCCTTGGTCAGTGGCCTGACCTCATCACCACTGAGCAGGGGGCTGCCCTCTCCCTTTGTTGGCCTGCCGTCTCCCTCCTCTGTCCCTGTGCAATCATGAGCCACACTCGTGCTGGGCCACCTGGGAGGATGGAGGGACCAGCCAGGTGGCAGAGGGCTCCCTCCCGGCCTGCCCACCGGCCTGTCCCCACACCTGCCTGCTCAGCAACACCACCTGTCCCGCTCCAGGACCCCATCCTGCGAGGGCTGCTCTGGGGGCCCAGCTGCCTCCAGTCACCACTGCTGAGCCCAGAGCTGCCGCCAGCCAGGCAGCGTCACGCGTCTCCAGTGTGTTAACTTATTAACCCGCCTCTCCCCCACTAGGCTGTCCCCTCCCCTGGCCGTGGATTTGAGATGTGAACATGGGAGAGGGGTCATCCTTTCTGTGGCCCCCACATTCAGGGGCCACCATATATCAGGTCCCCACCCGCTGTTCTCGGAAAGAAGTCTGTGCGAGGGTTGCATGTGCTTTCTGAAGCCCAGAGGCGCTGCTGCTGGTGCTCTGGGGCCTCAGAAACGCTGGTGTTCGTACCTATTTCACTTACGCCCCGAACTGTAAATAATGTACAGATGACCCTCAGCTGCCCTCTGGGGTGGCGCAGACCTGCCTTGGTGGTCTCCAGGCCGCCCCCCTTATATACTGACGTGGGTGTGAGGCAGGAAGGCTGGGGGCCCGGCAGTGCTGCCTGCTTCCAGAGCCCAGGGAGCCTGTGTGGCTGTCCTCAGGGGCAGCCTCCACTTGGGCCCCCACCTAGGACAAAGCAGAAACAACCAAGGAGGGCTTCCTGCAGGAAGCAGTGTGGTGCAATCAGGGCTGCACCTCTCCTTTCAGGGGCCTGGGAGAGCCGGCAGTCCAGGGCAGGACACTGTGGCCCCTGGAGCAGGCAGAGCCCTGAGGGGCGGGGTTGCCCGCTGACCCAGAAGGCTGCTCTGCTGGGGGCGGGGCTTTAGGACACAGGGTAAAGCGGGGAGGGAGGCCCTGGGGAGGAGAGGGCCCTCTCACAGCCTGTGGAGTCATTTGTGGGGCTGGGAGGGGTTGGGTGGTCTTGTCTTGGACACTTGCGAGGGTGGCATGCTGACTAGGACGTGAGGACAGGAGGGCGGCCCCAGTGCTGGGCTGCTGGGCGGGTGCACACCTGGCTGGGCTGCACGTCCAGCTCTGACCAGGTCTCATAACGTTGTTGCCTTAATGCATGTTGACGGGGAGTCGCTGAGGTTGCCCCTGTGCCCTGGGTGACCTCCAGGCCCCTCCTCCCCGCCTGTGGTCCGCAGACCCGCTCCACAGAGGGCACCGAGCAGGCGGTCTCACCATCTCACACCCGCTGGCCCGAGGTGCCGCCTGCCTGGATTCACCCGACCCCACTGCGCCCAAAGGCGGCTGCAGCTCCCCCATCTGCGCTGTTGCCTTGGCTGTGTTTGCACTTTTGTTCATGCTCCAAAGAATATTTCATAATGCCTTGCGCGTGACACGCACTGGCTCGGCGTGCGCTCGCACCACAGCGACCGGGCCTTTCTCCGTGACCGTGTCACCACCGCACACTTGTCTCAACCGCACTGTTGTTTTCCAAGGAAAGACGCCAGGGGCCGGGTCCAGGTTTGCTAGGAGCAGTGAGATGTGCGCGCACACAGCTCACTGTCAGGCCAATGCTCCCGGCGAGAATGGGCCCAGCACAGGCTCCCCAGGGACCTTGGTGTGGAATCTGGTGTCAGGGATGCATATGGAAAGTTCTGGGAAGTTCTGTTGCCACAGGGACGAGTCTAGGTGCCCAGAGGGCCTGCGCACGGAGTAAAACACAGTGATCCACCGGGCAGTGCGTGCCTCCTTCCTCCCGTGTCCTCTCCGGGCGGCTGGCCTGCACCGGGGCTTGTGGTGACAGGGACAGCGACAGCCTCCCCAGGAGGCCACTGTGCTCCCACGGGGAGGGTTCTCACTCTGCAGGGTCCGGCACTGGCTCTGTCCGTCCTCTCTCTGCCACCACCAAGGACCACCGGCTGGTGGCCCACAGAGCAGACTCCGGCTGGCCTTCCGCAGGCTCCTGCCGGTGGCCTTCTCTCCACCAGCCGGCCAGCTGGGTCCTGGGCGACGGAAGCTTCAGCCCCTACCACTCCCCCTCACTCCCCTGGCCGGGTGAGGGGCTAGGGGCGGTCGTGACATCCTGTCTCCCACCCGAGGGTCTGGGCCAGGGCCTGGCTGTAAAGGGCTCGTGCTGAGCAGCTGTGCTGCCCGCCTTCTGGAATGTTCCTCCCACCAGACCCCTCTGGCCTCGGGGGGGCTCCGCTGAGCAGGCAGAGCAGATCGGCAGGGCTCAGTGGCCCAGAGGACTCATGCCTAGCCCCGCACAGTGCCTGGCCCTACAGTGGTGGAGGTGGGGG